TCTCGCCTCCATTAGCTACTTTTGTTGTCTACTTATTGACAGCATTACATTTTCGCTTATGTTTTGGCCGTAATCAATAGACTGCCACCTAGGATGAAAACTCCTTGTCACGAGGGGCACATCTCCACATAATTATATTATTTTTGTGTCCTGTTTCAGGCAATGTTATTACTCCATGTTTTTGGTTTCCGTTTATAATTACTACATCCGTCTAGGTGAATAAATCATTTGCGTAATTCTAGATCATCGATTCGAGGAATTAAAAATGTGTTATATGTCATGAAAAGTATATCACTAGATTTCTATACGGATGTAATTTTTAAATATATATTTTTTGTCACATATAATACATATTTAGATAGTTAAATCGTCGACCTAGAACTACGTGAATGACTTATTCAGCGAGACGGAGGTAGTAGATGCTTCGACCACAGTGACTTGCACCTATTTTAATTAAATGTGATTTTTGCTGAGCAGTTTTGACCTTTTAGAAAATAAAATATTTGTAACAAATACACAAATTTCGGATGGAACATCTAGATAGATCTTTTTTGGTCAAACAATGGAATAATTTAAGATTGGAAATATTATACAAAATGGAAAAATTCTTTGTACATGGAGCAGAGGTTACTATTTGAATATTAAAAAATACTTCACTTCACTTCTTGTGAAAAAAAACTTGAATAGGTGGGTCGGCTCTCGGATGATCCCTCGGCACTATGGTGACTCATCACCCCACTTCTCGCGTGAAAACTTGTGATCTGGCCTTCATTAGCTTGACCTGACAATGATGCTACTTTTGTCGTCTGCTTATTAATGGCATTTGGTTTTTTTCTCATGTTTTGGCTGTAATCAGTTAGTCTGCCATCTAGGATGAAAAATCCATGCCACGAGGGGCAAATCTTAACATTGTTATGTATATGGATGTAATAGTAGGTGGTTTTTGTCCATTATTTTGTGTCGTGTATCTCTCAATGTTTGCCAAGCCATGTTCTCGGTTTCCGTTAATAATTAGATGCATGCTTTTGCCGTGATGGCTTGCGTCTATTTTAACAAAATATGATTGTTGCCGACAGATTTTAACCTTTTTACTAAATATTTATAAGAAATAAAAAAAATAGATAGAACATCTAGATAGATCATTCTTCTTAGGCATTTGAATAATTTTAGATTGAAAAGATTACACAAAACGGAAGATGTATGTACGTGGAGTAGAGGTTACTACTTGAACACTAAAAAAATGATTCACTTCACTTCTGGCCAGAAACGGGTGGGGTCGGCCCTTGGATGCCACCCCCACCCGAGCACGATGTGACTCATCACTTCACTTCTCACGTGAAAACTTGTGATCTTGCTTTCATTAGCTAGACCCGACAATGATACTACATTTGTCGTGTTTTTGTCAGTGTCGTGTTTATATTTTAACAAATTATGATCGTTGCCGAGAGGCTTTCTTCTTTTTTTTCAGGACAAAAACGTTTATAACAAATATACAAATTTGGATGGAACAACTAGAAAGATCAGTTTGTTAGACAAAATGCAATAATTACATTGGAGAGGTTATACAAAATGGAAAGAAAAAAAGTGTGTGTGCATATGTATGGTTTTCTAACTGTAGAAAGACACACACACGAAGTACGTTTCTTGACATCAGTTTGGCGGTACTCATGACTCCGTTGGTACTAAATCTGCGTCACTTATTTGGAAACGGAGGGAGCAGGTGTTAAGCAATTCATGGAGTATTGTTCGGGCGGTTGGTAGAGAAATATGATGCCCCCAAAATGAAAATGAAAATGATGTGTTCAGTAGAATGTGAATTTCCAAGGGTGCACACAACAACAGTAGAAATCTTATCCTCAACAAAAAAAAACAGTAGAAATCCTTTTTTTTCACATCCATTTAAGCTCAGAGAATTATGACTTAGCATCCATGGTTATGGCATTTCCTAACAGGACCAGTAGCATGCAATGCAAGTGTCTTCAATTATACTGTACTATCAAACATCTCCAGATAGTTTCAGTTGCATCTCAACTGCCACGAACGGTGGTGGACCTCAATCAATCAGTCGGACCAAGGCGCGATCTTGTCGATGCGGACGCTGAGTGGCACCTCCATGGCCGCCGCCCCGTCGCCCCCGTCCGCTCCCGGGACCAGGTACGCCGGCGGCACGGTGAGGAACGTCGGCTCGCCGGCGGCCACCACGGCGCCGGGCGAGGTGCTGCTCCTCACCTGCATCTCCACCAGCACGATGTCCGCCTTGCCGCCGTCCGCGGCCGCGGACGTGGTCAGGTTCACCCACATCTTGCACGTGAACCGCGGCCTCGTGGCCGCGCTCCCCCTGGCGCAGACCACGGACACGGCGGTCGCCGCGGCGCCGAGCGCGCCCACGGTGAGCACGAACACGCGGCCGTCACCGTCGCCGACGAGCAGCAGGCGCGGCGTGGACACGGGGACCTGGAGCCGGCTCACCTTGCCGTAGCGGATGGCGTGCACCGGCACGGAGTGGGCGGCACTGAGGTGGCCGGCGAGGTCCGGCGCCGCGCCGACGAAGCCGCAGCCGTGCTCCGCGCAGCGGCAGGGCGCGTGCGCGCACGCGCTCCGGTGCTCGTCGGCCTCGTGGTAGGTGACGTACATGTGGCAGCCGGCGTTGGGGCACTCGACCCGGGTGGAGGACACGACGGCGTCCAGCGCCGGGCAGGGGTCGAAGAAGCCGCAGCCGTCCGCGCACGCCCCGCACTGCCCGGAGGGCTGCTGGGCCGCGCAGCCGCCGCAGGCCAGGTGCCCGCCCTTGCACTGCAGGCACACAGACCGGACTCCGGCGGCAGATCAGCGCATCCGCAGGAAAGAATCGACTGACGAAAGAAGGAAAGGAAAGGAAGGGAGGAGAGGAAGGACCTGGAAGACGGGGGGCTTGAAGGGGAGGGCGCAGAGCGGGCAGTGGAGCACGCACATGTCGATCTTCACGGCGAGCTCCGCCCTCGGGCTGTGCTCCGCCACCGCAACGATGGCACCTCCGTCTCCTCCGGCCACCGCAACGAGCTCTTGCTTCACGGAGTGGCCGTTGGGCAGGTCCAGCCGCGCCTTCTTGGCGCTCTCGTCGGCCTTGTCCATGGTCGACGGCGAGCCCCTGCTCCTCCCCTCGGCGGCGCCGGCGCCCTGCATCCTGGCTCTTGCTCTTGGGGAAACGAAAACCCTCTCTGGCCAAACTTTTGCTGTGCCAGGCGCAAGAACAAATGGGGCGAGGAAAAAAGGAGCTCGGCCGGTACCGCACTAGAGATGAGATGAGATGCTTGCTTCATCATTGACTAGTGCTGAATTCCACTCGCATCCCTCTACTTGCCACTATTCCACACAGACCCCCTAGAGTAACCGAGTAGTAAATGTTTTTTACTCGGCATCCGCATGAAAACCACTCTTATATTATGGGACGGAATGAATACATGATAAACCGGCTAAAATGGCTTTTTAATGGTGAAAATAATGCACATTGTCCCGGTGCCCATATCAAGTTGTATGCATGTATATTTTTAAGTCTGTCTTTGTCACTAAACCATTGATCACATCTTGTTTTTTTTTGTTTTGATCCATAAACTCCGAACTAGACATACTTGAAACTTCACTTTGAAAGCCGGTTACATTTGGGTCCTCGCTCGACTTCAAGGCGGCATTACTGGACGAAGCGACGATAGTTTTGAACATGTAGCGGTCTGGTTAACAGAGAAATAACGAAAAATGAAAAGACGTTAAAGATGAAGAGGGAAATTTGATAATCAAATTTAAAGCTCGCTCAAATGTCAAGAAATTCAACATCTGAAGGCAATTATTGGAAAATCCCGAAAAAGTAGAAAAATAAAATGATTAGGAGCATTCAAGAACAGTCATGAAACAAGGCTGCTTTTTCATGAGTATTCACAAATTATTTGTAACAATCCTCTAATTCCCTGTTTGTCGATAGTACTTGTGATTTTTCTTCTTCATTTCTAACAGGACACATATGTTGTTCGTACCTTCTGTAGGAAATATTTATTAAAGAAGTTCTCAACATTTCCTTGACTTTTAAATAGATTTTGTGATTCTTTTAATAAAAACAGGACGTTAATTATATAAAATATTTTAAAAAATTATATGTTTCATTTTTTTATGTTTTATGCTAGGTTGTAACATGCAAAAACACCGATTTGTCTCCAGTCAATACAACCACACCTTGAGTGGTGTGAGAGACATCATCTACCTGGTTTTAAAAGTTACGGGTTTGAGCATATATTTAAGAAACTGGAAGTCAAAGCTAAGCTTACCTAATTGAGAAAATCAAAATTGTGTCTTTTTATCTATACAATAGAGAGAAGTTGGTGCAATCATTAGTAACCCTAGTTTGGCTGTTCATGTCATTTACCGCCTACATTTTTCTTCCAAATTTTGCATGTAGACTAGATCTCTTAAATATTTGACTTGTTTTCTGAAATGTTTTAATTATTGTTTGGGGTTTTGGAATTGTTGTACCTCTAGCCATTTGACTAGAGACAAAATTCATATTCAAAGCCATGCATATCTCACTAAGGCCCCCTTTGTTTGGGCTACAGATTCCTGAAATCAGTTGTGGCTTGAATTCCAGAGAATCAGTTGTAGCTGTAGATTTTGAGAATCAAAAGCTAGCTGTTTGTTTACCAGGCCGTAGAAAAACCAAAGTGTTGTCAAATGTTTGCAATGCCCCCGAATCCACAATTGGTCAATTACAAAACGGAGCAACAACAATGTCCTAAAAAATTGCAGAGCAACAACTTTGGGTATTGTTGTTGGTGTAGGAGGCAACAACACCAGGAAGCATAGCAGAACAGCAGCGGCCGGGGGATTGCTGTTGATTTAGGATGCAACTTTGGGTATTGTTGTTGATGTAGGAGCCATGTGCGGGGTACGTAGCTCTCCTCTCCTTGCGCTCGACGGTGGACGGAGGTTAGGGTATGGCATATGTCTTGTAATATCGGGGAGAAAACTAGGTATACTTCTATTGGGGTAAGTGGCAGCCCGGGAATCACCGAATTCGCAACTTTCGCTTCGGGACGCCTCGCGGTGTAATTTTTAGAATCGACTCCTAGAATCTACTATGGGTAGTTGGTTGTTTGTTTGCTATTCGGAGTTTCAGAGGAGTAGAATCCCTGAATCAAAAGCTGAAGCTCAAACAAAGGCCACCTAAGGGTGGTTATTATCTTAATGGTAAAAGATGTACTAGTCGACAACATGGTGTCTATATCGACTTCCTTGCTTTTCGTGCTTCACAAAAGTTTAATCTTTACGAGGATAAAAGACGCCATTTGTATATAACTCGCCCTCAAGGAGCAATTTAGTCAACTAACTCATAAAATGCCCTAGAGACAAAATATGCTAGTTTGGCTCGATCTTTGACGTGGCTTGGGTCTCACTTGTTTTTGACGGGAGAGAAGTTGAAGAGGCGCCAACGCCATGCCAGATTTTTAGTGAAACCCGCTTCTCTCTCACACTGTCACATGTGCGACCACCTCAAAGGTGATGAACGAGCACACCGACGACGAGGCGATCAATGACACATGGATGATTAACTTCGGCTAGTCGGCGATGGCTCTTCTGCAACGTGAACTTGGCTGCGCAGATCTAGGGCTAAGCGGCTTTGCACTGAGATGTGACTCATGAACCACCTCTATGGCGATAAGAATGTGGTTGTGAACTAGCTTGGAAGTATAATATTTTTCTTTAGCCGGAAGAAGTGGGACTTAAGGCAATGCACACAAAACTTTTTTCTCCGCGAATCACGACCCTCGTTCGTTTTTCCTTTTTTAGTTCGGCTGGACGTCAGTCATTTAAAAATGATATTTGGGCAAGTCGATTTCTGTTGGGAAGGAAGGAGGAGGCGCGCAGAGCACCTACGTCGCCGACAACATATCTTAGGGATGCAGGTTGGCCGGGGTA